ATCATATCTGCCCCCAATTAAAACAACATCCATAAAAATAAAATATACAAAAAAAAAACTATTTCATCCAATGAAGAGCTGAGACAGAAAAAACAACAAATGTAAATTATTCAAACATAAAGTTTGAAGCCTTCTTCTAAATGAATAAAACCAGTAGTTTTCAGGTCCTTTGTTAAATTATTCCATAATTTAATGACCTAGTTTTAAAACRTGTAACTGTTCTGAAGTTAATTTAAAATAAAGGGAGAAAATCCAGTGGATTCTTTAAATCTTAAATCAGTTTGAAAATGTTCATTAAGTCCAGTAAGTATTTGTACTTTTACTTCACAGCTCTGGTTAGATCATTCATTCAGAACAACAAATGACCTATAAGTGTAAAAGTGTTCAAACATTAATGAGAAGTTGAATGTGTTGCAGTGAAGTCCTGAACATCATGTTGTCTGAAGACATAAATAATGATCTGTTAGTTCAAACACATCCATAAACTTATATAAGCATACAGATAAAGCTGCACCAGTGCACAAACAGGTTTCATAGAAAAGTGAAAATTATGGGATTTCAAAATAAAGTGATYAATTTCACAGCCCTAAAAATTTCCTGAGTTGGTTGATTATGTTTTGCAGGTCATGTTTAAGGCTCATAAAATGTTTTACCTTTGAACATTCAATCTAATTTGTTAAGAGGGAAAGTTATAATAATGTTAAAGGGACTAGAGATGTTTGTAAAGCCTAAAATTCAAACATATTTGAAGACAGATGTACTTCAGTCCAAGGAATAAGACTGTGGGGTAATCTGGAGAATGATTATAAAAATGCTGGTTCAATGTATTTTAATGTTAGTCTGTTAAAGAAATATGAAACTGCTTTAATGTGTTGTAGAAACAAAGGTGTTGTTCAAAAACAACATGTTGAATAAAACATGAATCCACTTCATTTCTTCTAAAACTTTATTTTCTTCTTCTGACTCCAGTCAGGTTCACAGCACAGACCTTAGGCTAAMACCAGAACAGCTCAGAGACTCTGATAATAAATTAACTTTATAATGTTCTTCTGTGGTTCCACCTCTGCAGGTGTTACCTTTTAACCTAACCCTAACCTTACAGCAGACGTCAGAACAGAACTGKTCAGACTAAAACAAAGAACACATGATAAGACCACCAACTCTTACTTACAATGATGTTTTTAAAAGAAATCAATTAAAATTTAATAAATAAAGACCACATTTCTGCAGTGCATGAGTTGTCCTGTGGACAGGTTCCCCCACCTGAGCTGTGGATCTCTGCATTTGGTCCAGAGTCACCATGGGCCTGAACTGTGCTGCTGTTTGTAAAGTTACACAGTCAGAAATTACCACCAATGTTTTTATTTTATTTAGACT